TGCTGACCTAGATAAATGTTAAAACCACTTATGACAGCAGAATCATAGTTGGCAGGAAATTCTACCGAAGCATCTATTTTTATATACAAGGTCAGACAGTCAAAAGTAATCAAACCATCATATCCAGCTGGAACATCTTCAAAATACGTCAATGCCTTAGAAACTTGACAACGACGCATTTTTCTCGAAAAAAGTTTGTATGAGTATTGAAGATCAAAAAAGGAACCAGCATTACTTAGATAATGACATTTAGAGAACGCCACATGAACTCAAATGAATATTTTTTCCAGGAAATTTGTTTGCTCAAAATTCTACATGAATTTTCCAAATATCATTGTTCTTCTTGGAGTCCGGATAGTTGAGAAAGCAATTAAACTCGGGTTTGCAGGAATTCCTTCGATCAAGCTTTCCTTCGAGATTTAATTTAAAGCCTCTTAATGATCACCGCCTAGATACTGTAGATAAATACTATGTTGCGATGAACAGTTTTAGGAGGAATTTCAGATTTTCTGATTATACGTGTACTTTGCGGTACACATAGTAGATCCGATGATTAGAAGTAAGTGCCTGTTTGAGGCTGGCCTCTTATAGTAATGAAAATTACTTAAAGTTGTGATAAAATGGATGAAAGATGATGAAGGTTGAGTGTAACTAGCTTTAATGTTTCTTTAATTGAAGAACTGACACAAATAATGCATGGATGTTTACTGAAAGCCAATAATCACGAAGTTACAAGAAGATGTACAGTAAGCAAACTTTATACTTTTGTCAGCATTCCTCAGTAAACAAGCGTCCCCTAAAATTTATTTCGGCTGTGTCGCATCAATCTATTAGTCGCTTTATAACTTCATCATGTTACTTTTATTTATGATAGAAATATATGTTCACTGTTGCGTAGGTATAGTTACAGACATTGACACATTGGAGAAACTGACAATCTTCATTGTCTCATTTCTGATCTAACTACTTGATTTGTTGAGACCTAAACGACTTAAATGATTGCCACTTGTGTTCACAAACTCGCCATTCACTTTTGCAAGGTTTTATCACAGCATAGGAAAACAAGTGTTTCCTATGCTTGTTCTTCAGGGTGTTCATTTGAAAACTTCCCACTAAGGATTTATCGAAAACCACTGATTAAAGAACAAACGCCAAGACACGTCAAAATATTTGTCAAGGGGGATACGTTTTTAACTAAAAACTACTTCACCCCCTTTCACCCTCGACCCCTCAGGGTCATTCGGTTAAAAATTTTAGATGACAAGGGGTATCGAAAAAAGCTTGTTTAAAAGGTCTTTGGAAGTCCTTTATTTTGACGTTTGACTTTTTAAAATCAGTCGATTCGTTTTGGAGAAAATTAGAAAAATCTTTATTTATCTTAATTTATTCAGATAGAGAACAAAAACACGAAAATATCACTTTTTTTTTCAATAAGTGTTCAAAATGTTGCTCGTTAGGGTTTGCCAAATCTACAATTCGTTTACAATTTAAAACGGAAACTACCAACAGAAACAACAATTCCGAAGATTAGGCGTGGCAATAACCAAATAACATCCCCAATTTTTTTCCGCATTCTTTTCATCAACACAGATATCCTGGGCGAACTCTATTTATTGTTACGGCGTGTCCGTAAAATAAGTTCCACAAATTTTTTTCATTTCAAAAAAATGGTTTAATTGCAAAGAAAATACATTTTTGGAAAGTTCAGTCTTTCTTTTATTTTTCTACATAATCGCCGTTGCGTTCTATGCATCTCTGCATTCGAAGCACCCACTTCTTCAAACCAGAGTCATAGAACTCTGCCGCCTGTCCGTGTAGAAAAGTAACAACCGCATTTTGCACCTCTTCATCTGTCTGGAATTGGGTTCCGCCAAGGTCTTTCTTCAACTCAGGGAAGAGATGGAAGTCACTTGGTGCTAAGTCTGGGCTGTAGGGTGGGTGAGACACCATTTTCCATCCAAATCTTTCGATGAGGGCTGTGGTTCGATTGGCGGTGTGCGGTCAGGCATTGTCATGGTGAAAACGCAATCCTTTCGTCAGCATTCCTCTTCTCTTATTCTGAATGGCACGTCTAAGTTTTTTCAAGGACTCACAGTACCGGTCAGCATTGATTGTTGTCCCTCGAGGCATAAACTCGCACAACAATACGCCCTTTCGATCCCAAAAAACGCTAGCCATGATTTTCCCGGCAGACAGGATTTGTTTGAACTTCTTTGCTCTTGGTGAAGAAGAGTGCTTCCACTGCTTCGATTGCTCCTTTGTTTCCGGTGTGGTGTAGTGTACCCAGGTCTCGTCACCAGTAACAATAGAGTCCAGAAATTCCTCTTCGGTTGTTCCGTGAAAAGCGAGAAATTCTTGGGCCGCTTCAACCCGCTGCCGCCGGTGGTCTGCAGTGAGCATTCTTGGTACCCATCTTGCGCAGACCTTTGAATAGCCTAAATGTTCAGTCAAAATCTTGTCAATTGTGGTTTTGCTGACCTCCGGAATCTTTGTGCACAGCTCCCGAACTGTAATCCGTCGATCTTCAAGCATTGCCGCTTCGACTTTGGCAATTGTTTCGTCGGAAACCGATGGCCGCCCTGCTCGGGCTTCGTCGTGGACGTCTGTTCGACCATTTTTAAAGTCCCTGACCCATCTGCGCACCATCCCGCAGCTCATACAGTCTTCTCCATACACTTGACAAAGTTCTTCGTGAATTTCCTTCGCCGATTTCTTCTTAGCGGCCAGGAAACGAATAACAGACCGCAACTTGCAGCTGGCGGGAGACGCAAGAGGAAGCTCCATCGCTGACGGCTGCTGAGCCAAGACTAAACGTCGCAGCGACGCTGGCTTGGTGAGGGATTGGAGTGGGGGAACCAAGCAATCTGCCTCTGTTGCCTGGGTGTGCATAGAAACGATCCTAGCGCCAGCGGCAGCCCGTGGAACTTATTTTACGGACAAGCTCGTATATCTGTCTAGTTATTTGTTACTAAGGGAAATAGAAGTTTAGTTTGCTGTCAGTTACCTTTGTAATGATCTTGGGATAGTGAATAATAATTTATTGATTCAGATTTTGCTTCCAAAATAGTTTATACACTAGTCGAAAGAGTGGAAATGATTCTAATTTATAGTGCCCAAAAAATTAATGTATGGGCAGGCATTTTAGGAAACAGATTGAGCCATTTTTTTATTAATGGAAAGTTAAATGGTGACATTTATTTGGATATTTTAGAATATACCATCAATCCGCTTATCACTGAAACCATTGAAAACAAAATCGAAGAGGATGGAAACCCTATAATTGATGAGGCTGAAATATATTTCCAGCAGCGAAGAGGGCCTTTTTTCTATGGGGCCATTTGAAATTTATTGTTTACTCGGCAACCCGAAAATTTAGATGAACTTCGTCAACGCATCATCGAAAGTTGCCATAATATCCCACAACATGGTTTTGAAAATGTCCGTCAGGAATTTTTGACCAATGACGGGCAACATTTTGTATTTTTGTTTTCTATCTGAACAAATTAAGATAAATAAAGATTTTTATAATATTCTTGAAAACGAATCAAGTGATTTTAAAAAGCCAAACGTCAACATAAAGTTACTTCGAAAGACCTTTCAAACAAGCTATTACTCGATACCCCTTGTGATTTTTAAATTTTTAACGGGACCACCCTGGGGGCAGAGGGTGAACGGGGGTGATGTACTTTTTGGCTAAGAAGTTATCCCCCTTGACAGATCCTTTGACGTGTCTAGGCGTTTTTTCTTCTAATGAGTGGTTTCCGATAAATTCGTGGTGGGAAGTTGTCAAATGAACACCCTGTATGCTCTTTACTAGCTTGCTGACCCCCAGTTTTACACTCTAAACTTGTAGCGGGCGTCAACTAAAACGTAGCCTATATGTTATTCCTTGATAATGTTCATCTGTAGCATAAATCTCATGGTAATAATATAATAGATAAACGCACAAGACCAGCTGCAGGAGACCACGGTTTTTGTTGTAACTAGTTATATTTTAATCTCATAGTAAAATTAACCAAGTTTCCTAAGTATGCAAGTTGTCTGTCAATTTACGAGTGACTTAAAAGTTACATCGATCGGAAGTTACAGCATTACTTAAGTAAGTCAGTGTCACAAAAAGCTCAATTTATTGCCTAGAAGCCTGCAAAAAGTGATGCTGTACGTGGTTTAGGCTTACAGAACGGTATCGATTGATGCACCGCTAGTGGTGGCTGCTGGCTCGATAATTGATTTGCCGGCTGAAGAAATAGATGGGCGCTATATAAAAATGGCGCCGAGGCTAAAAGCGCTTTTTGTCAGGAGTCAGAAGAGACGGGATGTAACTGGCCATTGTGCATGGACGAGAAGGCTGATCCCAGATATTAAAGCTTGGATTGACAAGTGAGCGGTGCGGACAGACACTCACTGAAAATGGTTGTTTTGACACCTACCTGAAGAGGGGAGGAAAGAGCGTGTCAGCGAATTGTGTATATTGCAACGAAGAGGAGGACAATTTTTATCATCTGTATGCATGTGGTAAACGGGTTGACTACCGGAGACAGCTAGAATTGACGCTTGTTGAGTGACTCATAACGAACAATTTTGCCAGGCATATAAGCGAGAGAAAATGGGTTGATATTCGATCAAAAGTAAGAGAGATGATGCTGAGCGAGGTGCGGGGGGATAAGAATAGACAGAGGAACCAACGATATGTTCCTTCTTGCTAGACTGTGTACGTATATGAGTACACTTATGTTTATGCACGACGCTGAAAACAAAATCACTAAATACCTTTGGTATAAAACGCTACCCACCATGATGAAATGCATTACCGTTGTGGGATGTTTAGCGAATAACTTAGGCATTTTAGTGAATATGGTGCACATTAATTTGGAGATTATCTCAGGAAAGGCAAATACTATTGAGCTATACTGCCTGAGAGTGGCTATAAATGCTTTCCTCTGCCAAAAAAGTAGTTTGAATATAATAAATGGATACAAAGTATATCACTACTAGCTCACCTGTTTTTTTGTTACATTTACGTATCGCGTAAATACAGCACAACAAAGTTACACATTCAGACTGGCAATAATTATTATTTTCGTCATTATACGAGAGCAAATAAAAAGCATAAACACGTTCATCATACATTTAGATAAATTGTTAAGATTCTTGAACAAACATCCTGACAGATGTACAAGGTCGACGTTCATTAGATAAATGTAATTAACGATAAAAACAACCGTGAAAATGCTTCTACGCTTCTATAAAATACTGCATCATGTCTTGTGGAGGTAAACGAACTTAAGCAGTAACGTAAAAAATTATTACTTTTATGATGAATGTGATCTTACGCCAAGGCCACATCTTCATCGACGTTATGCAAAAGTGCTTAAAGTATGTCTGCATCCATCCAGCAGCCAAGAGTCGTGCCATTCTTAATCGTGATGATGTACAGTAGTTTGTGATTTCATTTCCATTAACATACGTTGATCAGATTCAGATTCATTTATTGATCCAGTTAGATCTACATTTTAGACATTGGATAAGTCGGTGCATACAGATTAAAATATAGATAAAATGAAGTACAATACAAATAACAATAGGAACCTAAAAAACAATATGGTACATACACACATGGCAACAAATTATTTATTAAGATCTATCAGAAGCACTATGGAATGTGACAAATTCACCTAGGTCATAGAAATCGCAATCCGATAGCTTGCTCCTTTTGAAAAGCCCTATGGAGTTTACGTTTTTGATCTTCGGAGGTAATAAGTTAAAAAAGTATATTCCTGCTGTTATGGGAGATTTTGAATGAAACGTATGTTATGACACATGCCTAACTATATTATTTTTATTAAGAGTGCTGTAGTCATGGAGGTCAGTATGCTTAAGACAATCATTTCTGTGCTGAAAAATATATGTTAAAAGTTTATAAAGATATATACATGCTACTGTAAGTATTTTGTGTTTCACAAATATCTCACGGCAAGAAGATCTGGACCGTATTTTAAATATAATGCAAATGATTCTTTTTTGTAAGTCAAACAGTCTAGATTTTTCACTAACCTGGCTCCACGCAGTAATGCCATATGAAATGACAGAGTGTACACACGCATAGAAGGCATCCATTAATGCTGAGGTGTTTAACATCCTCCCTAGCGTAAGTATTAGATACAGACTTTTTCCAAGCTTCTTACATACGGAATCAATTTACTTTGTACATCTTAAATTGCAATCAAAGCTTACACCTAAAAAAAAGTTTTTTTGGAAGTTACAACTGTCTTGCATTGAAGATTGAAACTAAACTTTGACGGAATTTTTGGTTTCATAAAATATTCAACTGAAACGGTATTTTTTGTATTTATTATTAGTCTGTTTTTGAAGCACCATTGACTGAACTCGGTAACCGAATCATTAATTTTTTCTTGAAGACGATCTTGTAATGACTCACCTAAAATGATATTTGTGTCGTCTGCATACAAAAGTAATTTTCCGTAGGATAAGTGTGCAGACAAATCATTTATGAAAATCGAGAAAATACTATCAACCTACATAACCTGGCGGAACTCGAATTAAATTCCAGGGGAAACTTTAAGGGAACATATTATTTGGTGAAAACATATTAGAAGAGTTATTGGACGAGGATATCGGTTGTGACAGAAAAAAAGGATTTGGTATATGTTTTATTCTCAAAAATAGGGTTAAAATAACATTTTATGTTTTTCATCAAGTTATACTGCCGCTGAGAAAATGAGCGTTGGCCCTTGTCTTCAGATCTGAAATACCTGCAGGTTAAACAAAACGAACACTAAAATCGGGTAAACAATCTCGTTGTTGTTGCAATAAAACCGCTCAATTTACTATTTGCCTTGATTACTTCTGTTCGCACGACACTGTCCTGTGACCCCCGTGATAACTATGTACTCTAATACGCTATAAGAGCACACTAAATTCCAAATCAAAATATCTCATATTATTGTTTTTATTTCAGTTTTATTAAAAAAAATCCTATAAAAATCTTTTCTACATTATGGAGTTTATGGTAAGAAAACACATGCCTACCAAAATATCAAGTCTAGCCACCACGATACTAGTAATGACAGTATTCAGTTAAAAAGACTGATGAGAAATAGTAATAATATAAATGGTATTAAACTAGAACAACTTATAAAGAAAAAATAACAAAAACGAAGTACGCCGACTCAAATTCGTTATGTGAAAATCCAATATCTGTTGTACGCTTACCAGAATTCAAAAACTTCTTTAGAAATTTGCCCCATGAAACGGAATGAATTATTAATGATTTTGCCTTCGTATACATCAACATTAGTTGGTAATTTGTCAAAAGATAGTGTTTAAGTTAGTCGTTTTTCTTTTAGTTTTTATTTCAATAAAAATTGCTTTGCCGTTTCGAGTTCTTTTCTTCATCCCATCAATATCACAGGAAATTGAAGACCCAGAAGCCATCAACAATTACTTTACTGACTCTCTACCAACCGTTCTGCCTGATGACCTATTTCTGGACACATTTTCAGAACTCAAAAATTCTGCTGTATCTAAATCTTCATTTCGTCAAGTTCCCTTTTTGTAAGCAGGAACTAACTAGTATTATCAACCAGTCACTAGCCACTGGAAAAGTACCATCAATATGGAAAGAGTCAATTGTAATGCTACAGAATTGAGGGACTTGAGACCAATCACTGCTGTACCTATAACGTCGAAGTTGTTAGAGAAAATAGTGGATGATGAGCTTCGTGAACACTTAGAGCAAAATAAAGTTTTGACTGACACCCAGTCGGGTATCAGGAAACTACACAATACGTCAACAGCACTCATCAAAATTACTAGTGACATAATTAAGTGCACCAATGACGGCAAGGTTACACTGCTAGTGATGTTGGATTACAGCAAAGCCTTTGATATGGTAAACCACAAGATCCTGTGTACAAAATTGATTGGGATGCTGAATTGTAGGCGGATGATGTACAAATATATAAGGCATGTAAGCCAGATGATGCAAATACCCTCATATCGGAGCTTAACACACATTTAGAAATGATAACAAGGCATTCAAAAAATTATTGTCTGAGACTTAACACACAAAAACTAAGGCTTGTTGTATTGGTGCTAGACTAGTTGTTCCAAAATTCAAAAAGGCAGTAAATCCAAATATAGTTTTAGATGGTGCCATTCTTCAAATTGTAGAGGAAACAATAAGCTAAGTTTGGGAATACTATTAGATACAAATTTAAGTTTTGAATGTCATGCTATGAATAAACTCAAATTGTGCTATTATAAATATAAAACGCTTTGGAAATATGTATAAACACATACTGACATGTGATACCAAATTGATGCTTGTAAACTCGTTAATCCGTATACATTTGGATTATGATGTCACAGTCTATTACAACTTCCTTACAGAGGAAATGAAACAAAAGATTCAGATTTTACAGAATCGTTGCATAAGATTTTGTTATAATAATATAGGTAGAGAAGAACACATCACTGGCTACTATGTGAGAGAAGACATTTTAAAATATAACTACCGTTCATTGCTTTCTTATGGTGCTCTATTTTATAAAGTTTTAAGATATAAATCTAAAAATTATCTGTATAATATTTTAGGGAAAAGATCCTCTGTTCGACATGTTTTTCTAAGAAATGATAATCGTTATATTACCCCAAGCCATGTAACATCTAAATTCAAAAAAGCTTTCACTTACACGGCACCTTGTTTGTTGAATAAATATTTAGAACTTTCCCAAATTACTTCCAGTAGTAGTTTCAGAAAGGAATTCAAGAAGGTGCTTCTCCAGTTACAAGCTTCTGAAGCTGAAGATAAAGAACTTCCGATTCAATATTGTATTTTATTTAAAATGGTACCTCAATTTTTATAGATTACATTACCTATGTAAAATTAGAGATAAGCTGAATCGCATGTTTTTTAATTGTTTTAATTTACTGAATCTCGCTGTAATTGCTATAGGCGACGGTGAAAAATGGCAATGCCAATCCCTAGCCTTTTGGAGTGTCTTTTTTAATGTATATATATATATATATTCATTTTGTATAAGTAATCCAATAAACATTATTATTATTATTATTATTATTATTATTATTATTATTATTATTATTATCACTTAATATTTGTATCATAATCTACATCAATTTTAGGCATAGATATTCAGGGAAATTTTCTAGGGGGTAGCCAAAATTCAAAAGCCGATCTGAACCTTTTTACATAAATTCTGCTGTCAGCAGACCAACGATTACTTAAAAAATTAAACAATTAAACAATTTTCAGAGATAATCTCCTTTTGACTGGAAATATGATTCTTTGCTTATAAGTAAATGAAATAAATTTGTATATCTTAAAAAAGAATAATAACAAGAACTTTAATAAAAATATATGTTAGCTCTATCTGACGAAAGGCTTCTGAAAATTCTCACGAAGTGTCCTACGTGCGTTTTCCAATTTTTTCCAAAATAACTTGATATGTTACCTCAAATATTGAAACAGCATACGATCGACAATGAATATATGGGCTGATACACTGAAATTTTCAATTCGGAAATACCTAAACTTGACATACAATGCTCATTCAACAACACGCTGATTTCGTTTTCTTGCTCTCCTGTAAAATTCACTGAACGTTGGTTACGACACTTCGTAAGAAAGCCGACGAAACGTTTGTTCAAGAGTCCCTAGTTATCTCATAATGCTTTGTATAAGTATGCTACTTCACACAACATTAAAGCACCATTTCAGTGTTCAGCCTACAACAAAAGAGAGCTTTGATTGGTGTTCTCAAAGGCCACTGCAGAAGTATGTCCCTCACGGAAATAGCAAAACATATATTACAACCGGTGGGAAAAACACAAAATATCATTATACTTCCTCGGTAAACATGCCCTGTGTCAGAACCTTGCGATGAGATACTCGATATGATAAAGATTGAAAGACAAGAGATGTGTGTAGCACCTGTGTCAAGCGGTATGGCAGATACTGCACTAAGTTATTTTGGTGTTTCAATAGTCATGTTGATTTTAATGGTGATGT